GAGGCTTGCGGAGAGTACTTTATGGTAGGCAGCGGTTTGGCTCTGCCCCTGGCATTGCTAACGTCCATGAGCGACGGTGACCAATTACCATCAGGTGGGCCGTATGTGCGTCTGCCTACGGAGGCAAAAAAAAAGCATACAGCCCACCTGATGGTGAATGATTACTGTCGTCTATGGACTTCAGTAATGTCAGAAGTAGAGCCAAGCCGCTACCTTCTTATCTATATTTATCTGTTCTCTCTGTCGTGTAGGGACAAATGATGATTTTGCGGAAGCAATCTTTTAAGATATTCAAAGCAGCCGTCTTAGACTTGTAGAATATTCGTGTGGCACATCTTGGAATAAAATTTAATAATAGAAAACAAAATGAAAACTGTCTGTACTAAAATTAAATCTATACATACCTAGATATAAATACAATTGGAGTGTCTGTTTGCAATATTGAAATAACCACATTTTACTACATACATATGAATATATACGGAACATACACCAAAATAACATTTTTTACATTTTTGTCTGTCTGTCTGTTTGTTCCGGCTAATCTCTGTAACGGCTGGACCGATTTTGACGGGACTTTCGCTAATAGGTAGTTGATGATATAAAGAGTAACTTAGGCTACTTTTTTTAGACTAGCTTCGCCCCGTGGCTTCACCCGCGGTACGACAATAACAGCGGGTAACATCGCGGGACTCAGCTAGTTGTAAAATAAAGGTATTGAAGTGTGTCGTCTGAAGCGCACGACTGGCGGCTATACATACACATACTTATTACATACACATACACATATATATTTAAATACAGTAGGCGCGTCAGTAAAATCAGATCGGTTGGCCGCTAAATTAAAATACATTCTAGTGTTGTCAATTACGAGGCTAAATATAAAATCAATTTTGGATGACTGAAAATAACACGTGATTCAATATGTCTCGCGGAAGTCTAGCTGGATTGAACGTTATTACTGACGTAGCTTAAAATTTGTTTTTGACATACGGCCCGCGTCGTATCAAGGGATTACCTGAGTCATTACAGACAGAGCTTTATTTGTATTGCAAACACAACAACATAAACCGGAATTTAGCATTATTTCTCGCTAAAACTTGACAGAAAATGATAGTTTTATTATTCAAATAAACGTTTACAGAACCTTTTAAATAGCCATAACCTAAACGAGGCTTCGATATGTAAGTTCGTCGAACTTATATCTCAAGGTGTGTGACGCATTGACGTTGTAGATGTCTATGGGTTCGAGTAAACACTTAACACCAGGTGGGCTGTGAGCTCGTCCACACATCTAGGCAATAAAAAAAAAGAAAGTTCGTTATTGAGAAGGATCGCCAAAAGCCACAGAGCATTTATTCCCCAATTATTCCAAATTATTGTAACGAAAATTAACGTTTTCAAAACACCAAGTATTTAAGATTAATTTTGTAAATGAATATTGTTAAGTGTTTCTTTTTTATTGCTTAGAAGGGTGGACGAGCTCACAGCCCACCTGGTGTTAAGTGGTTACTGGAGCCCATAGAGATCTGCAACGTAAATGCGCCACCCACCTTGAGATATAAGTTCTAAGGTCTCAGTATAGTTACAACGGCTGCCCCACCCTTCAAACCGAAACGCATTACTGCTTCACGGCAGAAATAGGCGGGGTGGTGGTACCTACCCGTGTGGACTCACAAGAAGTCCTACCACCAGTAACAAAGTTAAGTGCGGCTTAGATTCCAAAAAATGTGATATAATTCAAATGTCGTACTTATTTCTGTTATCATCATTCTCCTACCTTCTCCCAGTCACCTGGGGTCGGCGCAACATGTTCTCTCCTTTCATACTCCTCTATTATATACCATTTCTTCGCTCACTCCCTTCTTACACATATCGTCATTTACACAATCCATCCCTTTTTTCTTAGGTCTACCTCTTCTTCTAAAGCCTTCCACATTATATTTAAAACTCTCCTATTTCTGTTATCATCTTGCCTATTTCGGCCGCAAATGACCCGCGCACGCCGATTGGAATATTAAGATAATTATTATACTATTCAATTGGGGCTCCGACCTCATGTGTCAATAGCTGGCGGAATACACGTTCTGATTGATGTCTCGGGACTCTGGTGAGCACCCAACACCACGTGGGCCGAGAGATCGTCCAGACATTTAGTGTTTGTGTTACCGACCAAGTGGGAGTATATTTTTAGACTAAGTTCAATAGAACTTTGATCTTCGAATCAAAGGTTTAATTTTTATGGGTTTACATTGGCGGACGGACAAGCGACTCACCTGGCTTTAAGTACTAATGATTGATGAGCACTCGTGAGTAATTAATGGGAAGCATTTTTTATACGTATTACAGTTTTAAACACTGTTTGTCGGGATTAATATTTTGGTTTTTTTATTTAAATAATTATTAAAACAAAAACGCCTTTGTAGGCAGACGAGCATACGACCTACCTGATGGTGAGTGGTTACCGTCGCCCATGGACTTCAGGCATGCCATGGGCAGAGCGAAGCCGCTGCCTATCGCTAAAATTCTGTTTTGGAATCTGCTCCAAGTATTTTAAATGAAAACGTCGCAGTTTGATTACAAGTCATTTGTAGAGGTTATTTAGCTACGAAAACATGAATTGCACTAATGATAATTACAATTAATCTTGGATGTATAAAGTTCTGTCGGTTAATAGAGAAATAAGGCTCGTTTGGTGGAAGACGTTCACTTTGCTCTAGTAACACCGTTTAATACAGCTTTATTGTCTTAATTTAGACCTGCCGTGAAAGATGGTCATGCTTCGTCTGCCTACAGAGGCAATAAAAAAAATAAAAACATTCACTTATGTCTCTTTTATATCCACCTCTCTACCTTTATCCTTCAAGGCTATTCTGACTCCACCTTGAAAAGTAGGTTGAGCTCATAGGGCTGAGCCTGAGTGAACTTGCTGACGTCTGCCCTAACAAGGCCAGTGTTCTGTTGAATAGATTCAGTGTATTATGTACGCCCTTATACCCGCACAGGTAGGAACCACCATCCCGCTTATTTCTGCTACGAAGCACTCAGGATTCCGAATGGAATTGTGAGATAGCCATAAATTATAATAGAGACTATGATCTTATTACTCAAGACCATATTCAAGCTATGTTTACGCTTTCCGGTAACCACTTAACGCCAGATTTGCCATAAGCTCGATCAGCAAGGCACCGTTGTATAAAACTGCTACTTGAAAGCGCGTAGATAAGTAATATTATCCAGTGCGTTTAGTGCGAGTTTCTTAACGATCTCGATAGCGTAAAAGTTCATGCAAATTTGTATGGAGTTGGAATGTTTGCCTACGTTTGCCGCTAGGGGCGCTGTTCCTACTGCACACAAACTTGAGTTAACTTTTACGCTATCGAGAACGTTAAAAAGCTCGCACTAAGCACACATTTCTATATTCACTACTGCATCTTGTGAATACGTGTAGATCGGGCGTGTTGTTTATTAGTCCACGGACGGTCGAATTCAGCATCGAACTTTCCATTACAAATACTAAAACGGTTTCTCGTGCTTTGTCAACTTCCGTAACCAATATACACTATGTCCTCGTTACGAACACATGTGTGTCACAAATAGTCACAACCCACTGAGTTTCTCGCAGGGTCTCTAGGTTAAGTTACACAACGAACCCTTCATCGCATTCGATAGGTTCGACGAGAACAGTGACCGGTGTTTGGGAAGCCTAGAAACACCAAAAGTGGATCGGGACGAGATGACGTATACCGACTTGAGAATTATAGCTAAATGTATCTTTCTATTCCGTTGTTGTTAAGAGAGTTTTAACTATGAATGTGGAAGGCTTTAGAAGAAGAGGTAGTAAGAAAAAATGGATGGATTGCGTGAAAGACGATATGTGTAAGAGAGGAGTGAGCGAAGAAATGGTATATGATAGAGGAGTATGGAAGGAGAAAACATGGTGCGCCGACCCCAGGTGACTGGGAGAAGGGCAGAATAATATGATGTATCTTTCTATTCTATTTTTTAATATGTATCATTAAATTTTACTGGTGGTAGGACCTCTTGTGAGTCCGCCCGGTCAGGTACCATCACCCTGCCTATTTCTGCCGTGAAGCAGTAATGCGTTCCGGTTTGAAGGGTGGGGCAGCCATTGTAACTATACTGAGACCTTAGAACTTATATCTCAAGGTAGGTGGCCGCATTTACTTTGTAGATGTCTATGAGCTCCGGTAACCACTTAACACCTGGTGGGCTGTGAGTTCGTCCAACCATCTAACAAATAAAAAAGATGTGTGGTGTCGTGGGACACCGGATAGGAACGAAGTTCCTTATTATAAAAATATTAATTTTAAGTTCTATTCGAGGTATAAAGAAAATAAAACCGGAGGTTTCGCAACAACCCACGGTCATTCGGTAACGTGCGAACTTATTGTGGTACACTTCATTCACGGTTGTTTGCATAAGAGTTAGTGTATTGCGCAAAATAACGCTCTGAGATCGTGGTCATCATTACCCTGCCCTTCTCCCAGCTACCTGGGGTCGGCGCAACATGTTTTCTCCTTCCATACTCTTCTATCATATACCATTTCTTCGTTCACTCCCCTCTTACCCATATCGTCTTTCACGCAATCCATCCATATCTTCTTAGGTCTACCTCTTCCTCTATATCCTTCCACATTTATAATAATTAACATTTTCTTACCAACCTCATTTTCATTTCGTCTCATCACATGTCCATACCATCCCAAACGCGCACTTCTCAGCTTCTCTGTCACAGGTGCCACTTTCAGATTTTCTCTAACATATTGAGATCGTGGTCAATGAATGATAAAAAAATGTTATTTTTTGTACGTTATTACAAAGTTAAATCGTACACTGTGTGCATTACTAATAAAAATCTTACGTTACGGATGTTTTTTCCCGGTTGGGTACCCCTCCGCATCGTCCTATAAGGAACTTCGTTTTCCTCATTCCAGATACATTAATTAGGTTAATATTAACAAAGTATCATGTTGCAGAGGCGCCACCTCGCAGCATGTTCGGGATACCACTGTCTCAATGCGTGGAGACAGAGAGGGCGCTCCGGCGGCAGCTCCACGGGGGTTCCAGGGCTTCTCTTGCCTCGCTTGGAGCGCTCGAGAAGGCAGACGATGTAAGTACTTCGCATCCTCCTTTTTTTTTCTTTTTTTTTCTTTTCTCCTTTGTCAATCTGCCGATGCAATCAGCATTTTATGCCAGTGTCATGTTGTAGTGTTTTTGGGATTTAACTAATCCATACTTCACAGCCAGTGTGACAGTGCTAGTACATGGTTACGTTATATTATTTGATTTAATTACTCTAAAACAATCGTGTTTCTGATTTAATTATGTAGTTGAAAATAGCATATAGTGTTAGTTAGTTAGTGTAGGTTAGATATATACACAGATGAGTAACTAAATTCTAATGTTATGCAATTTCAGAAATTTTACTAGAGCTTTGGTGCTCTTTTTGTTTGTTAAGGAAAGTATTGAGTTAGAATCCATCGGGAGAGGAGTATCATACAAAACCAGGAGGTCATACAATCCTTATTAATCTATACTATCTATACTAATATTATAAAGAGGAAAGATTTGTTTGTTTGTTTGTATTGAATAGGTTCCGAAACTACTGAACCGATTTGAAAAACTCTTTCATTGTTTGGAAACTACACTATTGCTGAGCGACATAGGCTATAATATTTTTTTTTTAAAATTGGGTATCCTCACTAAAACTCCAATAATGTAACCCAAGGTGTAAAAAAATTACCTAAAATATTCTTTACGTCGCGTGCCCTGCGAAAACTATTGATGATAGAATAAAATAATGTACTACGACTTTGCAGAACACATTATAATTTACAAAAATTGTCGCGACAGCATATGTCTAACTAATATAGTTATGCCGCAATAAGTGTTCTTTTATTTAAAAATATAAAACAACGTCAAATATCGTTGAAATTTTTGTTAAAGACCCGAGCGGAGCCGGAGCGGGCCGCTAGTGATATAATAAAATCATATTCTGTTTTATTTGTAAGCTGCATAAATGACACACGCGTAATTTTTCGTGACAAATTGATTTATACTAAAAGTAAATTAAAATCTACATTCAGTCCAATTACTAGGAATTTATTTATCTAACTTGTAGACCCAAGCTTAAAAATTCGTTGATCCAATTCTTGGTCCAAGGTTGGACTATCCATCAAATTGAAATGCATATGTTTGGGTAGGCGAACAGTGGGTGCGCGCCGCACCATTATTTAAAAGATGGCGAAGTACATAAAACATAGACCTAGATCTATAAAAAGAGCGACCGGTTTCGATCACCAGACACCAAGTTTATTAATAAAAGTCAATCTTGCATCACAAAACATCTGTAACTAAAACGCGAACAATAAAAACTATCAATAGAAGATTGATGAGAACTTGCGTTTGGGAAACATTGTGCTAATTTGTACACACNCCATTATTTAAAAGATGGCGAAGTACATAAAACATAGACCTAGATCTATAAAAAGAGCGACCGGTTTCGATCACCAGACACCAAGTTTATTAATAAAAGTCAATCTTGCATCACAAAACATCTGTAACTAAAACGCGAACAATAAAAACTATCAATAGAAGATTGATGAGAACTTGCGTTTGGGAAACATTGTGCTAATTTGTACACACGTACATTGACCAGACTTGATCTATTATTTATTGTTTTTGCTCCTGTGTGAGCAGAAAGAGGCGCGGCGGATATAAGCGCATTCAAATTAAAAATAAAATAAATAAATTTGGCAACAATATTTATTATAAACGAATCAAATGTGATATTTTAACTTTTGGTATTTGATAATGAGATTTTTAGTGTTATTGTTTATAAAAAATGCGAGGCGAAACAAAAAACGAATGAAGTAAAAGAAACATCAAGATAGGACATAGAAAAAGTTGGGACAGACACGCTGCAATGGATATACTACTGAAGATTAGCCATAGAAGATATAAAAGATATATAGATGATATAGAAGATAGGTACATGGAAGATATATGAAAGATATATAGAAGATAAGAGGGCTAACGTGAGACAGTCGGCTGGTCGTAAAACTCAAATCCCTTTGCAGCATGATAAGAGAAATTGCTGTGCCATCCTTACATAATACAGGATAAGCGCAATCAGAAGAAAAAGAATAATACTAACATCCATCACGCTTCAAGTGCGAGTCTGGGGGTCCAGTATAAATAGTCTTATCGTTAAAGCAACTTGGTACTCAAAATCATTGTACTATTTTGAATCTGATCTCTCTATTTCTTCATCTGTTAGTATTAACTTAGTGGATTCCTCTTACTTCATTCTTCCTCGCTCTTACTCAAAAAGGTATTTATTAATTTCCATCTGCCACTTCTGCACTTTGTTACTGTAAATAGACAGCAAAAGGCCAAGATAATAGTTGCTGCATTTTAGAAAATAAGTTCTTACAAAGTCTAACACTATACTGTGTTGCGGCCTCTAGGCTTAGTGGTTCTATGCGACATACTCAGAGGGAGCTAGCTGATAATAAACCCACGTAAAGGATGGAATGCGCTTCTAAGCGGTCTTTCTAGAAGTATTATGAGGAGGACTAAGTTCCGAAATTAAAGTAAACTTCTTGCAGCCTAAGCCTCCTTGGAATGAGCAGTAGCCCACAAATGGCCGGTGATTACGAGAGTCAACGAAATGCAGTGACCGTATTTATTTCGGTTCTCCGAATGCAAGTTTTTGTCGTAATCTATGCGAGCGTTCAGAAATAGTTTCGTCTACTTCAGCCAAGACACGTAATGAATCTTGCGTGACGTTATTGTTCGTACTTTCTTGCAGAAGGGTTCTAATGTGTATTCTTAGAATTTTAGGACACAAGCTTCATGAATTTTTAGACGTTCGCGTCTAACGTTGCACGTTGAACTGAAAAATGATTGTTCATATATTTTCTTTGCAATAGTTCGTGCTCACGCTACAAGCATATCAATACCTGTATCTGTAGCTAATAATCACTGGTAGAATTGTATTTATTATCTAAGAGGGGGACAACCTAAAAAAAACTTAGATAGACTGTATGAAAGACGACATCCGAGAGAAGGGGGTGAGTGCAAGATGAAGTATGATAGGCCTGAATGGAAAAAGAAGGCATGTTGCGTCGACCATAGTGGGATAAGAGTCAGAAGAATAAGAAAATGAAGATTTAATATCTGAATGCAAATATGGTTCGCGGCTAAAATTAGTACCATGATGGTATTAAAAAGCTCACAATAGATCTTAATACCACTAGCTAGGTCTCATTTATTTAGGTTTTAAAAGGTAAAGACAGACAAAACAATGTGTCGCTATGCAAACAAAGAAGCATCTAAAGATTAATTATTAAAATTTACTAATAATACAATAACTTTAGCGGCGACTTAGCGAGCATTGGTGTAGAAAATATTAGATTCGGGAATTTAGTTTTAGAAAAAAAACGGTCAGTGACATGACATTTTAAAATATCAATAAGATCAAAGAAATACAATTTCTTTACAAACACAGAGACTGTTGAGCTTCATACGCGCTGTGCCTAGAAGCGCTTGCGAGCGGTTGGGAACCTGTTAACAAACTAACATTGTTAATGTCAGGGCGAAAGCTAAGTTTGGCCGCTTGTTTATATACACGGGGTATTGGAAATGCTCTCGTAAACGAAGATAGATGGGCGAAGCTAATGTTTATCACGCGATAGCACTGAGAGTAACAATCGGAAAATTAAAATGTTGAAAGATAGCACGACTTCGCATTTAAATGAAAATGCAAACTACTGCTTACCGTCTGGCTTATGAAATATGTCTATCAGTTAATGTTAATTGTATTTTTATATACTTTAACGTATACACATGGGAATACTAGCTTTAGGCCAGATGACCGTCTGGGACTTGTTCCCGGTTATTACTACATGTATACTAAATCTACAGTGGTTTTTACAGATGATCCGTTATAACTACTGAACCATGCATCCGATTGACTTGAAACTTGGTATCCATGTAGAAAATACATGTACTAAATGGATAGGCTAATATTTATATGAGTGTTCGACTCCCTACACCAATTACGGGGGCGTTAATGATGAGAATCGTTGTGGGGGTGAGAAATAACAATGTTAATTTTACTTGCCCAGCAATGCGGACGGGTACAGCTAGTATAATATATATGTGGGAACGGGTGAGAAGTGATGGAAGTTACACAACAAGCATACTTGGACAGTCAATGAGATAAAACACACGCACACGTATGTAACGTTGTCTTCAGATTTGAAGTTTCACAAAAGATCTCAACACACAAAACAATTTCCAGGTCAACTACGATCGACTCAATAACAATCGTTTTTTTTTTATCATTGAGAGTTTACTGGTGGCCCTGAGGCCTTTACAGTCTCACAAGGACAGGTGGGCGAGCAAGGGCTCAGCCAGAAGGGACTAACAATAGTACGGAGCAGAGTTTTGCAGCAGAGTTCGCCATAGTTATTTCAATCTACCCACTTTGACACTGTACACGATTACAACGCTTGTGTCTAAAATAATAAGAACTGGTGACCTAAATGCGACAAATAGTTTGTTACACACCGCTCTCTCTGTGAATATAGCTCATTTAGGCTCAGCAGAGCTTAATTTTGACCTCTGACCTTCCACGGGGCCCTTCGAAATTCGCTAAAGCTCATAAACTCGAGCGCTTAACAAATAATATTCACTCCATAAAGCAGTCGAAGCGCCCCCACCGGACCGTGAGACTATAAAATTTTTTCCGTAACATTATCCAGAATACAAAACGCGTAGAATGTCGTAAAACGTGTAACGTATTAAATTGTTACCAACAAAACTAATTTATAATTGTAACGGTTTCGGGAATTGCGTTGTGGTTAATTTTGTGGTTCGTGTAATTGTTTCGGGTTGCAGTCGTTTAGTATGCGTTTTATATATACGAGTATTAGTTCGGATGCTTTGCGTTCGAGTTTTATATTATTATAATTTATATAACTAGTCAGGTCATAAGTATTGTCACACAGTAAAAACTTTTCTGTTAGAATGCTGGCCACAAAAAAGGTTATTGAATTCGAATTTCGAATTGTTCATGAAAATAAAAACAGTATACATTTAGAA